ATAGATTTAATTGGCATAAGTCAAAGGAACTAAAGTTGGAAATATTAATTGCAACAGCAATGAAAGAAAACCTGGAAGAATCTGGCCATCATCAATCTAACAAGTGTTCTAAAAAAAAGTTGTTCCTCAAACAGGTAAAAAAACAAAAGAGAAGGGCAGAATAATCAAGAAGGCTTTGTTTGATAGCTCTTACTTGATAATTTTGTTTGTTTAAATCTTATCAGTCTAATCACAATAAAATTCCTATTAAATATTAAAATTTGAAAACATCATTTGAAATCTGATAAACATCTGACTAAAAGTTGCATTTAAGAAGTCATATTTAAGTTTATATAATTTTATACACCTGAAGATGGTTCTTTTAGAAAATTTTGACGAAAATAAAATCTGTTATGAGTCAGATGGCTTCCAGGTACCAGAATCATAGGAACAATACAAATGAAATTTGTTCCATTTGTGGAGAGTGGGACAGTGAGTTCAATTTCGATTTTTATTGTGTTTAGGATGGGCACTTGCAGGATGTGGTGGACTACATTTGTTATTTTTGTTTCAAACAATGTTTTACAGCTCTTCTCCAAGATTAACTGTCTTGTTCTCTTTGTTTTCTCTGTTCATCTTCAAGGAAGTAGGGTAAGTCTAGATCACACACAACAAAAAGCTGTCGGCATTATTTCATTTTGTGTATTATACCGATTACTTTATGTATTGGGGAATACTGGTGTGTCTCTTTATATCTAAAATATCAGCACAAGTTTGTTTAAGAACAAACAAAAAGACATGTAGCTCTGTATAAATGTGTTTATTATCCTAGTAGCTCAGTACATAATTCATACAATCAGTAATGTGAATGGAGGTTATGTATGGTTTGGTATCTACACTTAACACAGTTTTCTCCTTTGTAATACGTGACTTATTTTCATAACAGTAATATGGTGCAAGTGGGGCAGACATCTGACAATGAAGGAGAATTAAATTTAATCAGAGTTTTATGTTTTTGCACACAAATTAAAATGAATTCTGTGAATCTAATCATCTCCTTTGAATTACTAGTATCTTACAAGGTTAAGGTTATGGTCCATTCAAGAAAAAATATATTTTGACACAGTGTCCTTGGAAGTTACACATTCCATTTAGCATAACATCTAATTCTGCTTCACAGTTTAACTAAAGTGTCTGTGTAAGTTAAATGAAAGATATCGAGATTTATTCTGAACTGCCCCTCATGCTTTGAGAGATTGCCATATGAAAAAAATGGCTGCTAAAAATTGCTATTGTATTTGTTACGAATATAATGTCCCAAATTAACAGTGGTTATGTAAATTTAGAGTGTCTTGACAGTGGTGAATAATGCATGAATTCTGACATGGCATTTGGCGAAATAATCGAGATCCATTTGTAGCTTATTTGTGTTATTTAATATTCAAACTTACTGAATTTCAGTGAATTCCAAGAAGACTATTTATGTATGTGTATGTATTCAGTTAATAGATTATATATGAATATTAGACAGGATTTGTGATAGCCTCCTGAGTCGTAATGCTGCCTCGACTTCTTCGTAGGTACCGGTGTTCTTTTGAAATGCTGGTCTCTACCAACAAGTTGACGTAGCCTTACAACCCACAAGACCAATGCCATTACAGAGATCTAATCTAACCAAGAACTAAATCTGAAAATTTGGAGATCTTTCCATGCATGGTTCATGTTTTATAGATCAAAATATTGTTTGCTGCTTTCAGAAACAAAAGGACTATTTACAAGAGGCATTTTTAATTTTCATGTGGAGAAATTCAGTTTTGAAGAAAGTTTAAATATTTCATATATATTAATTATCAGTGATCAAATAACATTGTGGGAGGGAGGTTTTCAAGTTTGCAATGGTGATGGGATTGGAGTGATGATAGATCATTTAATTCTCCGTTATGGCGCTTTCCACCGAAGAATGTTCTGAGAATGGTGAACCCTGCAACAACAAAGATTAAATTGTAGTTAGAACTGTGAGTATTATGAAACCTGTGAGCCAAGAGGCGGGAAATGAGACAACCTTAAAATATTTTAATATCTAAAAGTTTTTTGTTTGTGTCATGCCCTCAGAAATTAAAAATTGTGGTTGCTTTAAACCAAATACTGCCGTTGGTAAAACTTCATGCAAATGTAAAACAGCAGATACTTGAAATATGAAGTTAGTAAATGCACGTTAGCCACGTAATGAATGTATTCTGAAACAACTCAAGACAGCTTCAGGTTCAACGTATTCCGATTTAAGATAGGAATTAAGATTGCGTCGTTTTCATTGATTATATATTCCATTTACTTGTTACGTTGGCGACTCCTTTTGAATTCAAATTGGTGGAAAGGAATGTTCAAAATCAGGAAAATTCGTTATTAGAACCTGAATTTAATAATAAGTGAGAATAACTGTGAGATCTGTTCTTGTGGTACAGTGATCTAACGTTAAAATATAATTTAATAGGTTAAATTCCCCTGTCTAATTGTCGAAGTTTACTAAAGATACCCTTAATTTGCCTGCCCGTTTTATTTCAAGTTTACTGTAGTTCTTTATGCAGAAAATTCTAAAATGAAGATGTTATTAAAAGATGCACGTAAATTAATGTAATATAACAAAAACTTCCACTGAGGTAATGAGATTAATATTTACAACAGCGGTATTTATAATTCGACGCCTGTTTTCTCAGATCCCAACGATAAACAGTTTTTTATTCAACCAAAATAAGTTTAAATTCGAATTGATATACAAGCACTGCAGAGCCCTTGTCTTACCGTGAGTAGGGGATCAGCCCGTCGTCCGAAGCGGAGTCTCAGTGAGGGAGATCGGTTCGCCTTCCTCACAATCTCGTGCTGACCCTGTTGCTGCATCCGGTTTTCCAAAGCCTCCTTCTGCAACAGCAGCTCGTACAAGTCGCGGACACCTGACGACGAGAATGTTCATTGCAATAAAGACTCCAGGCAAGCAGTCATGCCTGAGCAAGCCTATTGGGATTCAAACTTTGGACCTCCCTCTTCGATGATTGGAGCACAAATGAAAACCCGAAAACAATGCTACATTTTTCAAACGGAACTGTTACCGTCTGCGATTCAAGCAAGCGGGACAAGGGCCATGAAATCGCCTATATCATTTCTAAAAATCGTCGTGTTTTTCTTTATGTCTCCAAGCAATGTAAGAGACCTTAGAAGTTAACTTGGAATGTTTTTCTTCTCTCTGTGTCACGTCCCTTTTCTCCCGCACTCTCTTACATTATTTCGTCTGACCTTAATTTCGTTCTTTCTTTTCTTCATCCTTTCGTCCTTCTCTTCTTTCCCCGTCCCTCCTTTCCGTTCTTTTCTTTTTTCAGTATTTAAAGTTATGACACTGCAATTAAAATATAATATATCGCTCTATAACTTTAACACACAGGTCGGAAAACAATGATGTAAGGTAGGATTTGAGGTTTTCACGGCGGTGAGTCTGAAGATTGCTGTCTTCTGGTTAGTTGCACCCTGATGATGGAGGCAGCATGAACCTGTGAAACGTTGGTGGACATCTACCAGACTACGCGGCTCAAAGACCTAGAAGACAGCATTCTTCAATGATATAAGGTGTCTGTCTTCGAGGTTTTTTCTCCCGGTGGCCTGGACGTTTACCTGAGTTTCAGAAATGCTTGCTGCCTCCATCATCAGGGTGTTGGAGGCATCAAGCACCTCTGAAACGTCTAAAATGTCCACCAGAACATACCGCCATGAGAACATCAAATCTCACTCAGTGTTGTAAGTTGTCAACGTACGGGGTGCATGCATGTATTGTGCTGCCACCTATCCACAGGATTAGTGAAATTATTATAGAGACGATCTGCCGGCAACAGTTGGGATTAATCGTGATAGCAACCACTGCCAAGAGCTCGGTCGGTAACAATGTCAACTACCTGGCTTTGTTTGTTACTCTCCATTATAATCTATGGATGATTTATTCTCTGGTCGTTCGGGAATGCAACCACCAATTCTCCTTACGAAAACAGCGACTCGACTTAAGGAACAGGGACTGCCTTTGCCATAGCGGAGTTTGCCACACGCCATGGAGGCGTTTCGGGGTGGAGGAGTATAGCTCCTACTTATTCTTAACCTCGGTGTTAGATGGAGGTTAGTGGTCAGCATCACGCTTAGCCCGTTTTACCCCTGGAGAAAGGACCACCGGTACCCACAGTCGGTCGCAGAGGCTAGATGAAGCAATTTTTGCCCCTGACAGGAATTGAACCCCGGTTATCCAGTCAGTAGACAGACATTAAACGTACTGACTGATACATCAACAAGAATGAAACTTAAACTTTTGAAATGCCTCTAGCCTCCGTAATGTGATTTGTAATTCAACTGTTTCTTTAAACACATTTAAGACAATCTATAGTTATTAGTGGGTTTTATGAAGAGCCACGTCGTGGATTTAGGATTAAACATTGGTTTTGCGCGGCACTGACCTCATAACATTTCCTCTACACAACGGCTTTTTTTTTTCGAAATATACAAGTTACGGGATGTGAGCCAATATTCCACTTCTGATATTAAACAATTTCTGTATGTAGCTCAACTCTTCTCCAGCCTTCTAGGAAATTCCGGGATTTACCTACAGGTTCCTCTTATCCAACAGAATGCACATTGTTAGGCAGGTGCCGTGAGACAAACTTTCCCACCCTTAGTTTTGAGAACGTTTATTAATCGCTCGAAGGTGTGTGTCGAAGTTCCTAATGGCCTCAGGAATTGAAAACACGTTAAGAATTTCCTGTAACTTGAAGATGGCTTGAGATTATTTAATGTTGCGTTATTAAACGCCAGGAGAATCCCGTGGAAACTTCTATAAACTGAGTAACAACCAACCGGGACGTGTAAAATATTTCCAGTAGATTAAGGGGGAGGAACGTAAGTGATCGGTATCTTGAGCGAGAAGTGTTGAAATTATGAGCATAGCTCGGCACGTTGAAGCAGATCATTTTACTGAAGCTCGTTCCCCCTCACCCCCACCCCCACCCCTGCCATCCCGATAGTAGTTTGTTTTCTGCTTAAGGCGGGGGTGAGGAATCTGAACCAATAAGATTGTATCTTTTGGTTTTATGAAGAATGAGACGCAAAACGTTTGTCATTTGGCGAGGAAGAAGCAAAGATGGCGGTGGTAGTTAGCTTGTGTCCAACGAGATTGCGGTAATGTTTTCATAGTGAAGTAGACATGTATTCAGTGTTGCCATTAGAACATTATGCAGCAGTTGAAAGAGACATTGTCGTTCAATTTGTAGTCGCAAATGAATAATGGTGTTTACAAACTGGTAATGCGTGAGGACAGGTTGAATAAAGCGAGGCTTGATCTCCACGTCACGGGTTCTCAACTGTGGATTCGTTGTCACAATTGGATATTCTCGCGTCTGGAACTATTTCCGTTCTGGAGTAATACTGCAACTCACCGACAAGAAAACACCGGAGGTAAGTAGGCACTCCTGTGGTGGAGCGGCTATGTGCCATTCAATTATGTAGTCGGGATCGCTATTTTAGCGTTAAAGAATATGTAAATGATTTGTTGTGTGTTTGAAACGTAAATTTATGTTTTGGGAAATAGCGACCAATCGTTGCATTCTCAGAAATCTGGAGATGGAGCCGTGTCACAAACCCCGAATTCCAGAATGTGGCTAAAATGTTCACGTGCCATTGTTCATAAGTTGCACGTTACCAAAGCTAATGATGTAAATGCCACATAAGGGAATATACACATTGTGTTAAGTGTGTACAGAAAAGCTACTAATAATCAAACTTGTAGACTATTATACAGGAAATGCAATTTGTGCGTGGACCGGTCGGCTACTAAGTTGTTCGTCCACGCCGGCCGTCAAAAGGCCCCTCAGCTTGCCGGCACATCAGTGGAGTGTGTGTACAGTGAAATGTAGTGTTGATCAAAAATTGTGTACATACGATATATTCTTACAGCGTCAATGCCACTGAAGAAAACCTCGATGAAATCGGGTCTCGCTTTGCGCATGCGTCAGACATTTGCCAATTTTACGTAGGAATGCTTTGTTGTTATCATTTAACATATGTTGGAAACATTAACGCGGTGTAATTTATATTATAAATAATTTATTTTAGTAAACGAGTAGTGTCGTCTCCAGCGAATTTCCTTATTAACTGTGTACTTCATCGTAAGTTACTCGAAACCTAACCTAATTCAGAAGCTAATATATTTAATTCGGATTTGTGCCTGTAAATTGTTTCACCCAACGACAAATGAAAGTAGAAGGCATTCTTTGTGTTTGGACATACTCGAAACTTGGGAAATCTACGGCATTTGACGACATAAAGCGAAGTACCGGTGTACGTCGTATTCTCCGCAGGCCGGAATTTTCTGTTGGTTTTATTTGTATGTAATCTGACGCATGCGCTACAAGGGGAAATGTTTTAAGGTCATTCCAGAATCGAAAGAAGTCCAGGGAGCTAGGCAATGGAGGGAAAAATATATATACTGAAGTTATAAACTAAATAGAAAGATGAACAAAGAAGAACGTATAACACCCAATAAGACAAACCTAACCTAACTTTTAAAAACATAGGCAAACATGTATCGAGCTGCCTTACTTTTATCCACTAAAACAAAACACTTTCGAAACACCCGAACGTAATATTTTACTGGTGGATGGTCGCCATTTGGGGGCAGGTTACACCGGTCTGCAGAACATGGGTTATGCTCAGTGTAGTTAATTCCGTTCCTTACGAAGTTTGGCCTTCGCTGGGACATGCTTAAAAGCAGATGGTCGTCACTTCGAGACTTCTCTATGAAATAAGGGAAGTTAAAACACAGCGGAAAAGCGGGCCTGGATTAACCGGCTACCGTGGCGATTCTTTCCGAGAAGTTTGCCGTGTGAACTGCGGGACCCAGTCTTAGTGATTAACGGCATATCCTGTAGATCATTAGCGGACTTTCCGAGTATGTTAAAAAAGCGAAATGTATTTTATGATTCAGACGTTTATAATCTCCGGAATACAGCGTGTTCTATTTTAAAACAATACGATTAAAACTCTAGGTTATTTGCTCCTTGACATGTTTGTAAATGTTAGCTTTCGTAATGACGTTCTGAAAGGTTGAAACGTGTGTGCGTCATTTTGGCCGTAGAATTTAATTCATATTTGTTACACCGGTAGGCACCCGGTAAAAACACGAGACGCAACAATGTGACGTAATTTCAAATGTTGCTCATTGCTCTGCGTGCAGCGTAGTAAAAATTATTTCGATTATTTGTGATGTTTTACAAGGAATTATTAGCTGGACAACGCATTGCAAGCTGTGATCACAAACACGTGCAAGAATATAGTCCAAAATTAAAAACGCTGTGACATGTACGCGCTCGTTTGTGAGAACAGTCAAAATGTAGTTCCGTTTCCTTTCTGTTACACGTGAGAACACCGCGTGCGTCATCCGTGTCACATGA